GTCTGCCAAGTATTATCCTAAAGCATCTCTGTAAAACAGAAACATAATACAGGCCGCAGAAGTGATTTTAAATGTTTTAGTAGCCACATTCAGAAAGGGAGAAGAAACAAGTGAAATTAATTAGAATAATGCTTGAAATGAAATTGAAGAATTTCACCCAGCATATCTAAAACAGGATCATTTCAACCTACAATCAATATAAAAATTAATGAGATATTTTACATTCTTTTTTTCCCCTCATAAGTCTTTGCAACTTGCTGTGTATTTTACAGTATGTCTCAATTTGGACGAGCCAGACTTCAAGTATTCAATAGCCACGTGTGGCAGGTGACACTTAAGTGGACAGCAAAATTCTAAACCCTTCAAAGGCTTACAAGGGACACAGGAAGAGCCCTTAGAAGGGGTAGGAGAGACATAGCCTCATGTTTTGTGAGCTCTTAATAAAGCCATACATAGGTTTCCTTCTCTTAGAGAAACCTGATATGTAAAAATTCTTCTTGACAGGAAAGGTAAAGCAGGAAGTGATTATTCATGTTACAAAAGAATTAACTGCAGGATCCTTTAAATAGCAAGCTCCCTTAGTGCACTGAAGATCTGACTCAATTTGCAAAAATGTGATTGACACTTGGCATTTTAGTAGCATCTCTGTTGGGCAGAGAACTATCTGCCATTATAAAATGCAAATGCAAGCTGAACCATCAGTTTCTCAAGACTTTGTTGAGTACCTACTGTATGTCAGGGATGCTCGTAGGGGCCATGACAGAACTAAGGGAGATCTGTACCCAGAAGCCATTTAGAGGGTCACTGGGAGGGCGAGACACACATGCAGCCACCGCAGTGTGGAATTGCCTCGATACCAGGGCCCAGGGAGGCTTGGGGGCTGGATGAGCCAGGAAGGAGCTAGGCTGCAGGTAGGGCCCGGTTGGGCCCAGGAGGCAGGCAGAGTGCATGTGATGAAGTGTCCAGGAGTTTAAAGGAAGGGTGGGTCAGGAAAGACCAGCTCAGTAGGATATTGGGAAGACTCGAAAATTATGCATTTATGCTTTATATATCCCTGAGTCCCCAGTCCCTAATCCCCAGCCTTACTTCTAGCAGCCATCAGTTAAGCTGTATTCTTGGACGCCTCATAAGAGGGAGACGGAAGCAAACCCAGGATGTGCTTCTCTCCAGTTTTCAACAACAGGCAGCAGCTGTTTATTTCTTAGGACCTATCTTCTTGAAGCAGATTCCTTTGCCCTCTTCCAGCTTTACCTTGATAGAGCCCACATGCAGAATGCAGAAAATGAGACTTGCTGCTGAGGAAAGGAGAAGCAAGGTTGTGTGCTGGAAGTGGATGGGGTTCTGAGTTCCCCAAAGTACAAACGGTTTAAGTTCAACGTCGAGATGGACCCTTGACCAGATTCCTCCCCCGGCTCCTTCAGGCAGGCCCCATGTGCCGCTTCCCCCCAGCTCCGCTTAGGGCGATTTTGTCCCCATCAGGAAAGCTATGAGCTTTCATCTCTAAGTACTAAAATAGGAGCAGCCTTGGGGAGCCTAGGTCAGTATTCCAAGCCTTTTCTTGTTAAAAAAAATAATAATACCTGTTATTTAAAAAAATGACTATCTCCATACATATATTTATTTATAGATCATGTACATATATTGCTGTACTAGTTGATTAAGAGAACCCAAAAGAAGCCTCTAAATATTTATTATTAGGTTTAATGAACTTATGGAAAACATAAGATTGACTATTATATGGTTTTAGACATTGGTGAAAAATGGACATTTGTCTTCATGGCTCAGGTACATAGTTTTGAATATCTCGCTAAACCCAATAGTTCCGTATTATAATTAGGTAACTTAAACCTATATCAAGGGTGGGAGAAAACCCATATTACAAATTATCTTGATAACTCAGAGTGTTTTGTGCTGATTGGCTTGTCCTCGTGTTCACCCCCCAAAATGGCTGACAAAGAGTTCCCACCCAGGGGCTGAAGTGGCAGCTCCACCATTTTCTTGTTGACTTGGTCGTGTGTTGTGTATTATCTACAACCCCTACTTTCTTTATCCAAATCTTCTCAAGTCTCTCATCCATTTAGTGAGGGTGATTTTAGTTAAAAGGGGTAATAGTCATAAAGAGGCTCTACCAAGAGGCCTCCCAGAACTACAGGGTGCCCCATGGAGCTGAAAGCTGGCGCTGGCAGCTGCCCTTGTCTAGGGGCACAGCTGTCCCTCAGGCTGCTCCATGCCCTCCGAGCACCCCTGACTGCCTGACCTAGAGGCTGGATGAAGGAGCTGGTGTCATTCTCCAACTGGAACGTTAGAGAAGTTGAATTTTTCTCTTTTTAAAATGAAAACAAAATGAATAGATGTTTTCTTTTTTTTTTTTTTTCATCATGTTAACTAATTCCTGAAGTGGGTGCATCCCAGTTTGGAGGGCACTGGCTCAGAAAATAAGCTTAACTGCTTTGCTTAGCTTCAGGTTCTTTACTTGGGAAGATGGGCATCATAATACTGTGAGGATTAAGTGAGATAATGCAGGAAAAGTGTCTGGCACATAAACAGTTGTTACTGTAATCTCCGTTCCGATAGCAAAGCTTCAATAGATCCATGTCTAGGTAATTTGAAGAAAGCTGCTTTTTAATCGACCTGGTTCTGATTGTTATGATGACTCATTTTAACTGCTGGGGTGAGAAGATGATACAAGAAAATTGGAGTGTTTCTGCCTTTGTACTTGTCAGGAACCAGGAGAAATCTGAAAAGGTTGCCTTGTTTATGCTCTTATGCTTCTCCTTTCTGTTGATAAGTGATGAAAATGGTTCACAACTCAACTTCAGCCTGGGCAGATTTCTGACAGCAGAGTCAGCCAGCTAATTTTGGAATGAAAAAATAATCTCAGAAAGGAAATTCTGCTTTGAGTTGCTTATGAACTGTCTGGGTTATCTGACATTATGAGTGGACAAGGTGAGCACACCAGTCTGGGTGGACGGGGTTGTTTGATCTGGAAACACTTTGGGAGTTTATCCCTAATGGATATGCAAAGTGCATTTGACAAGGAGCCCCTCACCTACCAACCTTCTTCCTGGAAAACCTACCCCAATATATTGAATTTGTAAAAGTCATTTGTGCTTTCTTTGTCTCCTGTTGGAGAAATCTTTTTTTTATATATACATTTATTTATTTTTTATTTTTGGCTGCGTTGGGTCTTCGTTGCTGCATGCAGGCTTTCTCTGGTTGTGGCGAGTGGGGGCTACTCTTCGTTGCGGTGCGCGGGCTTCTCATTGCAGTGGCTTCTCTTGTTGCGGAGCACGGACTCTAGGCACGCAGGCTTCAGTAGTTGCAGCATGCGGGCTCAGTGGTTGTGACACGCGAGCTGTAGAGTGCAGACTCAGTAGTTGTGGCACACGGGCTCAGTTGCTCCGCGGCATGTGGGATCTTCCCGGACCAGGGCTCGATCCCGTGTCCCCTGCACTGGCAGGCAGATTCTTAACTACTGCGCCACCAAAGCCCCATTGGAGAAATCTTTGCCAAACCCAAGATCACTAAGATTTTCTCGTATGCTTTCTTATAAAAATATTGCAGTTTTAGCTCTTACATTCAGGCCTATGATCCATTTTTTTTTTTTTTTTTTTTTTTT